TGGTTGTTCAGTGTGCTGGGGGCAGGAACTCCAATGGCAGCTGCTCCGGGGCTTCGCTAGCGCTGGATCGGTTCGAAGGCAGTTGCAACTTCCTCCATAAATCACAGATGTGCAAACCAGAACCCAACCCCATCCTCCACCCTGGCAAAAGTGTTGTGTACTGCATTTAAAGATGGGACTTGTGGATTCAGGTCTCTGTCACATTTTGGCTGAGCTGCAGATCTCTTTTATCATTGTGAAATCTGGCCCTAAGTGTGTGTGGAATTCCGGATAAAAATCCCTTACTCTAGCTTGTTGGTTTTCTTGTTCTAAAGAGACAACTGCTGCTATCTTGAAATGATGCCTTTAAAATAGATTGAAAGGAGAAATCATTGATGCTGCCTCTTAAATACCTTTTTGCAGTTTCATCTGTTGTGAGCATGAAATTTGCCATCTATTGCGGTCTTATGTGCTACAGTAAACAGGTAAAATTGCCAGAGGACCATAGGGCAGCTCTCTCATTAAACTTTGCATCAGTATTTGTGGTGTAAGTCACCAACAGCATACCATATCTTCAAGAGATTCAGGGGACAGAGATGAGTGTAGTGGCCATCACTAAGGAGAAGGTACTGGGAAAGCTAAAAGATCTGAAGATGAATAAATCACCCAGACTGGATGGACTACACCAAAAATGTTCTAAAGGAAATAGCTGAAGAGATTCTAGAAGCATTGTGGGGAATTTCAGGAATCACTGGAGTCAGGGAAGGTCCCAGAGGACAGGAAAATGGCTAATGTAACCCTCCTATTTAAGAAGGGAGGAAGATAGACGACAGGAAATTATAGGTCAACTAGACTGACCTCAGTCATTGGTAAGATTCAGGATCCATTATAAAAGATGGGATTGAGGAGTACTCAGAAGTGCATGGTAAAATAGGGCTGAGTCAGTATGGCTTCATCAAAGGGAGGTAATGCCTGACAAATCTGTTAGAATTCTTTGAGGAGGTAATAAGCAAATTAGATAAAGGAGAGCCAGTGGACATGATCTATTTGGATTTCCAGAAGGCATTTGACAAGTACCACACAGGAGACTTTTAAATAAGACAAAAGCCCGTGGTGTTAGGGGGAATGTAGTGGCATGGATAGAGGATTCTCTGACTGGCAGAGGCATAGAGTAAGGATAAAGGGGTCTTTTTAAGTATGGCAGTTGGTGATTAGTAGAGGTCTGCGGGGGTCAATGTTGGGACCACAACTATTCACATTATACATTAACAATCTGGTCAAAGGAACTGAGGGCATTGTTGCTAAGTTTGCAGTTGACACAATTATACGTGGAGGGACAGGTAGTGTTGAGGAAGCAGGGAGGCTGCAGAAGGATGTGGTCAGGCTAAGAGAGTAGGTAAAGAAGTAGCAAATGGAATACAATGTAGGAGACAGTGATGTTACACACTTTGGTAGGAAAGGTAGAGGCAGAGACTATTTTCTCAACAGGAAAAGACTTCAGATATCTGAAGCACAAAGGGACTTGGGAGTCCTGGTTCAGGATTTTCTTAAGGTTAACATGCAAGTTCAGATGGCAGTTGGGAAGGCAAATGCAATGTTAGCCTTCATTTCAAGGGTGCTAGAATACAAGTGTAGAGATGTACTGCTGAGGCTGTATAAAGTTCTTGTCAGACTGCATTTGGAATATTGTGAGCAGTTTTGGGTTCTGTATTTGAGGAAGGATATGCTTGCCTTGTAAAGGGTCCAGAGGATGTTCACAAGAATGATCCCAGGAATGAAGGGCTCATCATATGAGGAGTAGTCCATAATACCATAAGACATAGGAGCACAAATTAGGCCATTCGGCCCGTCGAGTACGCTCCGCCATTCAATCACGGCTGATAAGTTCCTCAACCTCATTCTCCTGCTTTCTCCCCGTAACCCTTGATCCTCTTGATAATCAAGAACCTATCTATCTCAGTCTTAAATGTACTCAATGAAGAATAGTTGAGGACTCTGGGTCTATACTTGATAGAGTTTCAATAGATGAGGGAGGATCTTACTAAAACTTATAGAATACTGAGAGACCTGGACAGAATGGATGTGGAGAAGATATTTTCACCAGTTGGAGAGATTGGGACCCAAGGGTACAGCCTCAGTGTGAAGGAATAATCCTTTATAACTAACTGTAGTTTAGTAGTAAGGCTGGTAAAAGGATCAAAGGTCGAATGGTGTAGCAGACTCGATGGGCCGAATAGCCTAATTCTGTTTCTATTTCTTGTGGTCTTATGACGTGGTGTGTTTAACCTTAAGGTCACCATACCTTAGACAATGTGAGGTTGATAAGGTAGGACCTTCATTGGAAGGTCAGCTGCTACAGGAATTAAACCCACACTGTTGGCATCACCATGTATCACAAACCAGCCATCCAGCCAATGGAGCTAACCAGCCCCGGAATATGCTACAGTAATTCTATCCCGGTATCCTAGAATTATAATCCAAACATCACTAAATGTAGAAAAAGAAATACAGAAAAATAGAACAAAGACAGTCTATTGATGCTCACCATCTCCCAAATGCAACGGATACTGCATGTTCAAATAACATGAAGGATGGGAATAAGTTCAAACTCAAGTCTGAATTGACAAGCCATACCCTTGAGAAGGAACTGTATCCAGTCGACTCTTATATAAACCTATTCTTCTTTCAGAATAAGAGAAATTAGAGGACAGGAGGGAGGTTTGATTTTACTCATTATTTTGTTATAGGATTAGGGTTAGGGTAAGATTATTATAATTTAAAAGATTGTTATAAATCTGCTGCTGCAAGGTTAACAATAGAAATGGAACTATTCCTCCAATAAGGTTTCTGAATGGCAAGTATTTATAACAATGAAATATTGGTTATTTATTGTTATAATAATCTCTTTCTGAATCTTGCAGCTCTGTATTATAAAGTAATATTATCAGCACTTATGTGGGTAACTGAATAAAAGACATGTGGATAAGTACATGAATAGGGAAGGTTCAGAGGGATATGGGCCAAACGCAGGCAAATGGGACTAGTTTAGTTTGGGAAATTTGGGCGGCAGGGAAGAGTAGAAGTGAAGGGTCTGTTTCCGTGCTGTATGGCTCTATGACTATAACTCTCTCCCTATACTCCTTAACAGCCTCTAGAAATCAAAAATTCTGCTGTCTGCTTCAAAGCAATGTCAAGCTTTCCGTCACACTATAAATGATACTCTGAAATGATGCAGTTTGGTTGGAGAATTAATAAAGAAGGAAGCTAGTATTGGTGTGCGGAAGTCATTCATTCGCCAAACGTGAGCACATAACGCAACAAAAACTTGCATCTTTATCATAAGCTGTCCCAAGAATTTCACAGTCATGTAATTAAAAACAAACATTGCCACTGAGTTAAAGGACTTATCATGATAGATCACCAAAGCTTAGACAAAGAGGTAAATCTTAACAAGCATTCTAAAGGAGGTCAGGTCAACAAGCGTAGGGATGAATTTTAAAACTTGGGATAATATAGACCTTGTAGTTTTCTGCATTTACGGTTCATTTATGCATGGTATCTTGAATGAAATAACTAACAAAAATAAAAGCATGCATGGTAATAAACATTAGAAAAGTGCTGTCACTTACTAATTCTCAGAAACACATCAAGATTATGTACTTAATAAACATTGTCACTTGTCTATCAAGCTTTGTTGAAAATATGTAACACATGAAAATATTTTCACAAGTGTGTTATTTCTCTGGTAAGTGTTAGTAGGGCAACACTTTGGGACTAGTGCTCATAATTCTATTAGTTTTGAAATAGTTATCAAAAAGGAGAGGCCTTCCATAAAGTTTTGAATTTTGAAAGGAACATTCAAAAGTTGATTGGAGTAGCCTGTTCGCGGACGTGTGGGAGGTTTTCAAAATTAGATAACGAGAGTTCAGAGGCATTATGTTCCTGTTAGAGTGAAGGGTAAGGCCGGTAAGAGTAGGGAACAAAGAGTGAATAAAGATATCGATGTTCTCGTCATGAATAAGAAAGAGTCATATGTCAGATATAGATAACTGAGATCAAATTAATCTCTTGAAGAGTATAAAGGGTGTAGGGACATTCTTAAGTGGGAAATCAGGAGGGCAAATAGGGAATATGAGACAGCCTTGGCAGATAAGGTTAAGGATAAGCCAAACAGATTGTACAAGTACATTAAGAGCAAAAGAACAACTAGGGTGAGAATCGGGCCCCTTAAAGATCAACAAGGTTGTCTATGTGTTGAACCTCAGGAGATGGCAGAGATACTAAACGAATATTTTGTGTCAGTTTACACTGTGAAGAAATAGGGGCTAGAGAACTCGGGGAAATAAGTAATTGTTTTGAATGTGGTCAATGTGGACTAGTTGGACTGAAGGGTCTCTTTCCATGCTATATAACTTATGGCTCTATGACTCAATAAAATACATGCCACATGAAAATTTGATACACAGAGTTTTGCTAAATATTGTACTCAAAACCTACTTCTGTTATGTATAATAATAAAGTGACAGATTTTTTTCCCTCTTTAAGATGGATATAATGAGAAACATATTCCTTTCAGTGTGATACCTTGTTGAAATGAAATATTTTTGTCCAACTTTCTTTTCATTGCTTGTTCTTCTCATCTTAAAAATGTGTTTGTAGCCTTCATAAGTTCTAATTCAAATTGTTGATTCTTAAAATTGAAAAGAAGCTCTTTTCCATGCATTATAATGCACTAAATTCCTTATGATGCTGGGCGTCAGAGGCACATATATATGCCTTTTCTACTGAGCTTTGTGAAGAGATTTTTCCTATAATACAGAATTCAGATGACCCTATTACAGAACCATATTTTGTCTATCACAAGATTACCACCTTTGTTTGTAGCAATCAGGTTCCATAGCTACATTGTTTAACTTGAATGAGAATTGTTTGTAGATCTATCACATTTGCTTAGCAAACTGAGTTAAACATAAAATGATTTTGGCAAAACAAATGATAATTTTTGAAGATTTGACCAGTACCTGCATGACAATGAGGAGGTCAAAGACAAGGATAAAAGAGGCCAAAAAGGCTCTGGAGACTTCATCGCTTGGCAAAAATCCTCGGTTCAACTTGTCCCAACTGATCCAGTCAGTGGTGATGACAACAACAACAACACTGGTCAGGGTGATCAGCACAGACCTGTGAGCACAAGAGAGGAGTACAGCTTTACTAATTGCTATTAGGCAAGCAAAAGGAAGGGTACCAAAAGTATTTTGATAATTTTTGAAAGGAATGCTTTTATTTTTAACAAAGTGAAGTATTCATTTATAGAAACACATACATCCCTTTATTCATATATATCGTCTTTACACCTGGTCATTACATTTCTGTGTCGATATTTTCTAATCAACCTGTTCAGAGTTGCTATTACACACCTCAGGAACAATGGGACATAAACCTAGGCATCCTGGCTCAGAGGAAGGTCTACTACCACTGCGCTGCTAGAGGTCACTACGGGTCTGTGTACCTTTTATTGAATTGGTTGATTGACCACCATCCAGTAATCTATTATATTTGGCATTAAATCTGTATTTGTTATTATCCGAAACAAACAAAATATCCATGAATGCACATTCTACCCGAAACATGAGTAAGAATAGATAAAGCCCAATGTACTTTGAACTTGGAGAAATGTGTCCAGTAATTTGTAATGTATACATCTTGACAGGTGTGTTGCTTATTGATACTTACAACATCAAAGCAAGATGGATCTAAAACAAGATAACAAGGTGTAGAGCTGGATGAACACAGCAGGCCAAGCAGCACCAGAGGAGGAGGAAAGCTGACGTTTCGGGCCTAGACCCTTCTTCAGAAATGGGGGAGGGGAAAGGGGTTCTGAGATAAATAGGGAGAGAGGGGGAGGTGGATAGAAGATGGATAAGGGAGAAGATAGGTGGAGAGTAGACAAGATGGGTCAAAGAGGCGGGGATGGAGCCAGTAAAGGTGAGCGTAGGTGGGGAGTTAGGGAGGGACCTACACTCACCTTTACTGGCTTCATTCCCGCCTCTTTGACTTGTCTGTCTCCTCTCCACCTATCTTCTCCTCTATCCATCTTCTATCCGCCTCCCCCTCTCTCCCTATTTATTTCAGAACCCCCTTCCCCTTCCCCTCCCCCATTTCTGAAGAAGGGTCTAGGCCCGAAACGTCAGCCTTTTTGCTCCTATGATGCTGCTTGGCCTGCTGTGTTCATCCAGCTCTACACCTTGTTATCTCAGATTCTCCAGCATCAGCAGTTCCTACTATCTCAGGTTCTAAAATGAGACTGATTGCTAAGATAATAAGACATTTAAAAAAGATCACTTATGGAACATGGGTATTGCTGGCTAGCCAGCATTTATTGCCTAGCCCTAGTTACCCTTCAGAAGGTGAGCTGTCTTTTATGAACAGCTACAGTCCATTCACTATAATTAGACCCATAATGTCATTAAAGAGGGAATTCCAGGATTTTGACCCAATAACACTGAAGGAATGGTGACATATTTCTAAGTCAGGATGATGAGTGGCTTGGATGGGAACTTGTAGGTGACTGACATGAGGACAGACTGGATCAGATAGGTCAATATTTACTGCAGTTTAGAAGAATAAGGAGGGGTCTCCTGGAAATCTATAAAATTAACCTTTCTAGAGCCTTCTGCAAATTCTGTATGTCATCCCTATCTCTTGCCTTTCTACACATTTCTGTGTCATCTACAAACTTTTCTCATTCAAGTCATTAATATGTATTGGAGCTCCAGCACAGATCGCTGTGGCACACCATTAGTTACAGGTTGTCATCTTGACAATGCCACCCCCCATCCAAACTTTGATTTATTCTGGTTCATCAGTCCTCTATTTTTGCTGATATATTACCTCCAACACCATGCCCAGTTATCTTATTAGGTATCCTGGTGTGCCATTCTTTATCAAATGCCTTCACAAAATCCAAATATATTACATCCACTGTTTCCCCTTTATCTACCCGGCTCGTTACCTTCTCAAAGAATTCTACTGAATTTCTAAATGCCAACAACAGTAAAATGAAGAATTTGAAAACTCTTACTGCCCAAATGAGGTTTCCCAATATATTAGGATTCCAGATGCGATACTCCAAATTAAAACAGAAATTGCTGGCAAAACTCAACAGATGTGGCAGAAGCTGTACAAAGAGAGCAGAGTTAATGTTTTTAGTCTAATGAAGAGGAGCTCCTGGGTGAGGAC